CAGCGGGTCCCCGACGGCCCGTCTCTCCGGGACGTGGTGGCTCCGTGATGAAGCTGGCAGACGTCGTGCCCCATAGTCCCCTCACGGCCTCCGCTCCCAGGGGAACAAGACCCGCCTCTGGGATTTTCCGTGATTGAATGTGGAGATGCCCTGGACAGGAGGCAGAGGACGAAGGGAGGGACCACAGGGGCGTCTGTGTCCCGACAACGGCCCGGACCCACTTCCTCCGCATCCTTCCTTACGGCCATTAAAATGTATCAAGATGAGTATTTTTGAAGCAGCCGCACTGAGAATTAGCATTGAGGCCGTTGCTTGGCAACCGGAGACTTTGGTTATTTTATTTCTAAACAGGGAATGCTACAAACTGGGACCTGGAGTTCCTGCAAATAGTTCCAAATAGATGCTCTCCCCATAAATCGAGATAACACAGCATCCGTGTGCATGTAAAGGCTGCTAAATGCACCTACGTGTGTGGGCGTGTCTCACATCACGCACATGCGTGCACACGCACACGCCTCACACAGAGCTCTCTCCTTTACCCACCATCTTATGTAAATCTGGGTCTCGACCACAGGCCACGCCTAAGGAAGGCACCGAGCGCCCCTGCATGGGGCCGCGTGTCCAGCCGTGACGCGGTGGGCGAGCGCCTGGGGCCCACGCAGCACGGCAGGGTCACGAGGGATGGAGCCTCCATGACCTCCTGCTGCACGCAGGCCCGGCGCGTGGAAATGCCCGTTGCCCAGAACCAGAGTGCGAGCACCTGGCGACAAACAAGCAAACAGCCGTTCACTCCTCCCTCTCCCCCCTGAGCAGCCTTCGCCAATGGAGGGGTGTCCTGAGGGCAGCTATGCCTCCTCGGGGTCTGTCCCCCAACCTCCCCAAGGGACCAAAATCCTATTTTGAGAGAACCGGGTGGTGGTGAAAATGCCCACGTGTCTGCCCTGGCCGGTGTGCTCAGTGGATAGAGCCACGGCCCACAGACTGAAGGGTCCGGGTTTGATTCCGGTCAAGGGCACATACCTCGGTTGCAGACTCAATACCCCACCCTGGTCAGGGCGCGTGCAGGAAGCAAACAATAGATGCCTCTCTCTCATCAATGTCTCTCTCTGTGTCTTCCCTCCCTTCCACTCTCCCTAAAACTCAATGGGAAAATACCCGCATGTGAGGAATGACAACAACAAAATGTCTGTGTCTGAAGACTGCAGAGACAGGACCTCAGCCACAGCTGGTCTGGCCTGGACAGGCCTGTGGGTGACCCCGCTGGGGACCGGCTCCGGCGCTGGCTTTGGGGATGGGAATCCTTTTATTGCCTCTGCTTCCTTTTTCTAATCTAACGGGGAGAGTCCTGTTACCTTGGTGCCCGGGAGGTGGGGGGGAGGGGAAATGGCTGCAATGAGCGATGGAGGGAGCTTGCCAATGCGCCGCCAAGCCGCTCAGGACTACAGCACATTTCCCCAGACAGGGGTCCCCCAATTCAGGTCACCTGTGCAGCCTGTCGGTGCAGGACCGACTAGGGGGTGGGAGGCCGGGGTGGGAGCCCTGGGTGGTCTCCTGCCTCCCGAATGCTCTTTGGAAGGGTCTCACCATGGAGGGCTGGTTTATGGCGCTTGGACTGGCCAGCAAGCCCGGGAGGCGCAATGGCCGAGCTGGGAACCCATATGCGCCTGTGTCTGTCATCCACAAAGGCAGGGCATCTGCAAAGTCAGCAGCACCCTGGGCACCCAGATGCCAGGGGAGGGGGGGGACACCAGGACAGCTAAGGGACCCACCTCGCTTCCCGTCCTGCTCACACGACAGAGTCTGGTCGGGGTGAGGAGAAGGGACAGGCTATGTGCCCTCTGCTCGAATTCTCGTTAATGTCCCGGAAGCAAGCACAGACTGCAGCTCTGCACAGAGCTGCTGGTGACGGGGGGAGGGAGCGGGTCCCCCTGTGTGTTGTGGGGAGAGGGAGGGGGTCCTCCTGCGAGCTGTGGAGGGTGGGGCGGGTCCCCCTACGTGTTGTGGGGGGAGGAGAGGGTCCCCTTGTGTGCTGTGGGGGGTGGGGCGGGACACAGACCTGGAGCCTGGCTTTCTGCTCTTCTCCTGTGAGTGAGCAGCAGGTAACAGGAACCGCCCCTCTCAGAGCTTCCTGCACCTGGAAGGCGTGCAGGATGCTGAGTGACATGGCCGTGGAGCCCAACTAACAGACAGAGAAACCCGGGCCCCCCTCGGGCTGAGCACCTCCCCACGCTGGGTGGAGCAGAGGCAGTTCACGTCCTCAGAGCCAGACAGCCGCACGGGCAGCAGCCTGGGCTCGGAACCCCGTCTCTGCCGCTC